TCTGGTCCAGCGGAACCCCCGACCTAGGATGGCCAATCGGGCTGAAATTTTTACCAGGTACGTATCTCTCCAGGATCACTCATCCCTGAAATTTTCAGCTCAAAAGACCCATTCTAAGTGGGAAATCATTTCTGAGGGGTGGGGCCCTTAATGATCAAACCATACTTATGATGTTTGACTCATTTTATTTCCTTTTAATATATTACTCTTCTAAATATAACCTTATTTAGTTTCTCTTTGAGAGAAAAAAAAAATGATATTCTTTAAAAAATTGCAAACTGAATTTTGCTGTTACATAGACAATCTGTTTCTCCTGATCACATGCACTGAACTCAATTAATACTACAGTACGGGTAAAAAATATAAGAGAAACGCGCATTTGTTTTTATTTGTTTCTACGATATCAAGCATTTAACTCAAATCCAAATAGTACTTTGAATAGTCAATGAAGTTCTCTATGAAATACATTCTATATATATCAAAAAAAAATTTTTCTAGTTTTATTCAAGATTTTATACTCTTTCAGATAGAACTCTTAAAAATTAATTTTCATTCAGTTTTCTAGAATCTGAAAAATACTGTATTACCTGTTGAAAGCATTATTTGGATTTGAATTAAATACATGTTACCGTAGAAAAAAAAAAATCAAAAGTACGTTGATGTTATATTTTTGACCAGTACAATAATCACTAGAAACTTTTTTGTTGTAATAATAAATTAATTTTCTTTTTTTTTTTGCATTTAGATATTACAAAGATCCAGTTTTATGTGTTAAATGTATTTTAGATGGTATTTCATCTGATGAAAAACTCTCAGATGAAAAAACAAATGCTATTCTTAGTATACTCGGTAAGTTTTAATTAATTCATAGATTAATAATATTGTTTTTTTTTTTTTTCTTCTCTATTTTAGTTCTTGATCTTAAACTTGAAATGACTGTATTACGTATTGAAAATGGTATTCCATATATACGATTAAATTTAGGTGAGAGAAATTTAAATAATGAAATACGTACTATTCTTTTATCATCAAACATAATAAAACAAAATCAAATAATTTATTCTGATCCGAATAAACTTGAACTGAATCTATCTGAAACTCATTATGTTCAATTAACAACTGTTGATACACAATCTGAATGTTTTCATGTTTTACTTATGCGCGATTGTCTTTCAATAATAATGAATGTATTAAAAGATTGGAATGCTAATAGAAAACCATTATCTGTAGAACCAAAACCAAATATGCTTGTTTGTGCACAATACGATGTTGATGATCTTTGGTATCGAGGATGGATTCAATATGTTACTGGTATAGAAGTTGTTTTTTTATTTTTTTTATTTTTATTAATTTGATTTAAAACAAAATGCCTTTTTAAATATTATTATAGAAGATGGTTATCGTGTATATTTTGTCGATTTTGGTAATGAAGAAATCGTTTCCATTGATCGTCTTAGTGAATGTCCAGATATTTTAAGAAATATTCCATGGCAAAGTGTACAAATTAAATTAGCTAATATTAAATTAACAGATGATGAACGTTATATACTTTTAAGAGATTTTGAAACTGATCGTCTTGAAATGAAAATTATTGAAAAACATCAAGATATTTATCATGTTGATTTAATTATGAATGGAAAATCACTTGTAGAACATATATTAGAATTACGAAAGAAACAACAATCACAAATTAATGAGGTTTATCTAATTATCATTTAAACATGAATTAAAATTTTCTATTGCAGGTACCAAAAATACCTATGGAACCGATTCAACAAACCTTTACACCAGTATCAACAGTAACACCAGTGACAACAACGGAAAATGTTTTACGAACATCAAATGAAAGTGAGTGATTCTATGATTGAAACTTGAACAATTTTGAGCATAGGATTTTCTGATATCCTTGAAAAACTCGAATAATCTTTTTTTGAATAAAAAAATTTGACCCTTGATCAAAGTATATTGAGTATTATTCAAATCGTGAAATATATCATTTTCATTTTTGTTTTTGAGCAAATATTCCCGTGGTTGCTCATTATGCATCGAATCAATCTTGGATCCGATCGGATTCGAGTCTGAAAATATTCAACCTGACGAACTCTAGAGAAGCCGGAAGATCTTGATAGACTTAAACACTTCTTTTCTTCTTCGATTATATTAATAAATTTGAGCAGTGCATTAGATTTTGTCCAAACGTTAATAGTTTTTTCCTGTTAACAACTACATTTTCTTAGTCATATAGACTTAGAAAACTTTATTGAGGAAGTATTAAGTTTTGTATAAATATTGAATTATACGTTGTCGATAACTTGAAGTGAAGAAGAACTGTACGTAAAATCTGAGGCAAATTAACTACACTCTACTACAATTTTTCTTCGTCTTTGATGCCTAAGATTACATGTCTGTTAAACACTTTTAAGAGTGAATAAACTCACAATGTAATATATTTTTTCTTATGAATACTTTTTGCTTGGTGATTAAAATTTTTCTTCAGTAAAATAGTGACTAAAAGATAGGTTCATGATTTATAATCCGCAACATACTGAAATTTATCATGCAAATCTTTTTTTTTTAATTTTTATGTAATCAGTGGAACCATTTATTCATTCCTGTATCTGTAGCAATTAAAGAATGTTGACATCTCATTTTTTTTTGTACTATAAAAGTTCTTTATTGAGAAAATTTGAAAATACAATTTTTGATTTAGATTCACAATCAATTCCATTGCCTATTCAACCGAGTATTGATGTACCAGGGCAACCTATAATATTAAACAATAGTAAAATATTGCAATCAACAACTACAACAACAAATACTGCTACTACTGTTGATGCTGGTAAAATACCGGTGTCTAGCATTTCGAATACGGTAATGAAACAAGAGCCTACTACTGACCAAAAGAACGATATTTGTATTAATGATAATTTAATAACATTAATTGCTGAACAACGTCGACAAAATCGTTTACTCGAACAAGTTATCGCAGCGATTAATACAACAAATGCACTTCTCACACAACTTGTTCAACGCTAAAAAGAAAGTCTATTATTATTTACACGTTTATATATAGTTAAGATCAGATATTCAGTCTAGTTTATCTTTCGTTTTTGTGCTATGAAATTGAATGATACGTTTGATAATCATTCATTTCCAATAAACTGGCTGCATTTTCTTTTGGTTTCATTTTTGTGATACATATATCCTGGTTGTTTTGTTTTTTGTTTTTATAGTTCATCTTTCATTTTATTTCATCCAAAAGATATCATTATAGATAGATTCATTATTTTGATCGTTGCTTTTCTATTTTTCTCATTTTGTTATTGTGCTTGTTTTTTTAGTTATTATATGTTCAGTTTGAAAGTAAGACAAAGCGTTGGATTGTAATAGTTATCCATACAAAAATAAGCCTTTCGTTTTTTTTGTTGGAATAAAACACACATACAAAAGTACTCTCGAGTACGAACGTTATTATTACTAATAGATATTTATGCAGTGTCATTGACAACTAGAATTTCCATTTTTAGAAACCTTGTAGAAAATGCAGAAAGTATGATATTAAAAATTCCTTAGACATTATGTATAGAGAATTCCCTAAGCTAGCCATTGGTAAAAACAATATTTTGTATTATTTCTCTGTTTCCAAGATATACATCTTAGACAACTATGAGATTATTAAAAAAAGAAGTTGGCTTTTCTTTAATTGCTTTTTTATGAATAAGATAATATCTTGATGATGTACTATGTGATCAATATCGAGAAAAGTTGTTGCAATTACATAAAATGCTTTTCAAAATTTTCACACGAATTAGGATACGGGTGTGGTCGTGTAATATGAAGATTTTTACTTCGCACACATCCTTTAATTAATTAAGAATAGGATGAAGACATCGGAGCAAAATTCTATTGTTTGATTGACTCAGACAATCTGCGAAAATTGTTTGATGAGACTTCCAACAAAGATTCAGATGTTTGTTCTTCTTTTAGATCTTACGTTCAATCGAGCTTTTTCGTGGTTTCAATGAGATGAGTGACGAGAATAAAGAGATTGTTGATATTGGGCATCGTAATCCTGACACAGATATAATTACAGTAGCATTAATTTATACTGAATTTCTTCGTCGAATGAATATTAACGCTAAAGCTTATCGTCTTGGTAATCTCAATAACGAAACTAAATTTGTATTAAAAACAGTCGATATGGAAGAACCTGAAATGTTATCAGATAATATGTCTGAAAGTACTCAAGTTGCATTGGTCGATCATAATGAAAGTAAACAAGAAATATATGAGAAATGCATTGATTTAGGAGTTCATTGTTTTTTGACGTTAGATCAACAGTGAATGAAAAATTTGAAAAAAATGCGTGTTACTCATGTTGTTGATCATCATAAATTAGGCGATCTAACAACTTCTAAACCTGTCTACTTACGTTTTGAACCTGTTGAATGTACTAGTACAATTTTAACAAAATTATTTCGTGAACACAATTTAGATATTGATCAAAAAACAGCTTTTCTACTCATCAGTGCTATTCTCAGTGATACACTTCATTTTCGGTAATTTTTTTTCGTTTGCCGAGAAATTTTTAATTGCATTATTACAATGATTAAACTATAAAATCTAGAATAGTATTTTATTTCTTCTATAGATCATCAACAACTACTGATGACGATAGAAAAACCGTTGAATATTTACATCCACTTTCGGAAAATGACAATCTAGAATTTTATGTTAATAAATTGTTCGAAGCCAAAAGTGATTTAACAGAATTTTCGACAAAGAAAATTCGTCTTCTTGATTACAAAACATTTCATTTTAATGATGAGCATTGGCGAATAGGTACTGGTGAAACGTGTAATATGGATACAATGTTGGAACGAAAAGATGAATTTCTTAAAGAAATGAATGAGGAAAAGAAGAGGAATAATATAGCAAATATTTTATTTTCAATTGTTGATATTGTTAAACAAAAGAACTTGACATTAATACCTGGTGAAGATGAAGAACAGGTAGTTCGAGCAGCATTTAAGGTTGATGTTAATGATTGTATAGCTGATTTGGGTACAAACAAAAGTCGAACAAGAGAAATTATTTCAGTCCTTGAAGCATATTTTAATTCAAATTCGTAAATTAATGAACGGCTGTTTGCAATAATCAAGCAATAATTTCTTTTATATTTTCCATTAACAAAGCTAATTTAGTTTTTCTTTGTTTGCTTTGTATATAAGAGTTGCTAGTTATGTTTTTTTTTACTTGCTTACTTCAGCAAATTACTGTAGTTATCAAATAATCAAGATTATTAAATTTAATAAAGCTGAATAAAATAGACAAGTTCGTTAGTGATTATATTGCATCTCAACTCAGAAGATCGAAGATACTTCATCGGATCCGATGAAGTATTAAACCGCTCAGTTCTGTTTTTTTTTGTAATTATTGGACAACAACCAAAATATATTTTGAATACTTTTTATGACGGTACGAAGCCATTTTTCAATAACCTAGGTAGAACATTCATGCTTCTAAACGATTGTTTACGGTGACAAAGAAAGCTATTCAAATAAATGAACAGTTAGTACACAATTGTCTACAGTAAAATAAAGTACATTTAAACTTTTAATCTTTAGCTAATTGGACGAGACGAAGGCAGTCGGGGAGAGCTTAACCAATATATACTGTTCAGATGTAAACGCAACGTCATTCCATGAAATCCTATCAGATCCAACTTCAGGATTCTTCAACCTAGGAAATTTCAGCATATCGTCGAAAATTTATGTGTGATAATAAAGAACTTCTTATCAATAGTAAACGGCTATATTCGTTGGGTTTTATCACGAATAAAAAGATTGACAGTCTTTGCATGAAAGCTCCCTTCCGTATGTTTATTACTCTTTATAAGTACTTGAGTAACTTTTTTCAATTTTATAACGATTGTATCAATAGATGAAAAGCCAGATAATTGTTCTACTCATTTTTAAAGTCATCATAGATGATGACAAGAATCGAAGGATTTATACAAAATGCATCGATGAAAGTAATCGTATCTTTTCAAAAGAAAAGAACCAACCGATTATCTAATTCTCACTATCAGAAACTTTGACTAGATTGATGAAGTGTCTAAAGCAAATATTCTTCAAGAACATTATCTTTGGATAAAATGATCAACATGTCAAAAGATCACACGATCGTGACAGAACATGAATTATACGAATATACTGCTGTCCTGAAGGAGCAGTGATATCACTACCTTAGGTAATGATGTTTTATAGAGCTACTTCAATTAAACCCCAACCAAAAAAAAATGCAAGAAACGATGCGTAAAAATTATTAACTGCGACAAATAGATGGTATATTTAGTCGGTAAGACAATAATCGATGTGAGAAATACATATTACATCAATGATGAAAGAATAGCCTAGCATGTATTCCGTCATTTAAGATTAGAAAAAAAATGATGTTCAGGCTTATCTTATAATATTCAGTCGAATTTTTATTCAAGTTTCTTTGTACAAAAACAAAAATAGAAAAAAGCATCATTGATCTGAAGCATTCTTCAAAAGTATGTGAAATTTAGTCGTCACCATGTTCTAAACCATCGATCTCTTGGTTCCGTTGTTCTGAATTTTGACCAAATATATAATTGTCTACCTGTCTCATAGCTTCTGATCGCATCATAGGACCACAAATCATAAAGAGAACACCAAAAAAGCATAGAGTAGAGAGAATAAAAATCAATACAATACTCGAAGAATGAATAGATGATGGTGATGATGATGAATGAGTAAAGACGAACGACATATTATCATTCCTCGAATCATTTGTAGTAACATTAATATAATTCGATAAGGTATACATATAATATCATATTGATCATAGATTTGTTGAATAATTAATATAGACATAAAGAATGACTAAGACTAACGATCGATGCCATTTGTATATGTAAGAAGAAAAAATATTATTATTCTAGAAAAAAAAGAAAAATAAATTAAACTATTTATGTTTTCTTCATGTCATTATCGTCGTTTTAAATCTATAAATCTGTCAACGTACCGATGGTTCGTCAATTTTCTTTAAGTATTTTTTCTTTCTGCCAATCAAGTGCTAGTGTCGTGATAAATGTCCGACAGCAATTACCGACTTAATGCAACTAGCATTTCTTTCTATTCAAATATTGTTTATAGATAAATCACGACAACGTTTAAAAAAAGTTTGCCTCAAGATCGTAATTTCTAATCAACTAAAATTTCAGATGATTTCGCTGTAAACACAGAGACACATCGACCTCAATAGCTATTAAAGAAGTATTACACTAATAGGAAGAATTCAAGGATATAAAACGTAGAATGAATTGTCTTTTCCACAGCTAGACAAGAACGAACTTTCTCAAGTGCGAGTACGTAAGAGTTTTCTAAGATCTTACTAGAGAAAATTCAATTAGTAACTTTAGAAATACATAACGTATTCATTTTGAGATTGAGACATTGCAAGAGCTATGAATCAAAATGTTGTTATTATTATTTTTTCTATTATCATCAAGTTTCAAGCATATCTTTTTTGGAAGTTAACGATCCATGATGTGGACACATTATATATAGAGAATTACTTTCACCACTCTTTCAGATAAAGAATCATTAAGCTCTATAAAAACTTTTAGTTTATCATCAAAACAAGGCTTTGGGTCTTTTCATCACCGACACCCACATCCATATCCATGTTCTAAGTTAGCCGTAATATTGCAATAACAATTTTTATTTAGCACGAATGAATCATCTATATGTAAGAAAAGAAGAACTATATAAAATACAGACAGAGATCGGTTCACAATTACACATTATATTACTAATGCAAGGGAATAATAAAATATGAATACTCATGTTATTGTATCATGATATGGAATCTATCTATTTATCTGATTAAATATATTTATTCAAAAAAAAAAAAAAAAGAAATCAACTGTTTATTTCATCATCGGAAAACATAAACGAAAAATTTTATCAAGCATGATTTTGAAATAATGCATACTTTCATTTACAAAATCATATATGAGAGTAAGGAAAATGTGTTGTACTTAATGATATTTATTTATCGATTCTTGAATAAATGACAAACTTAGCGAAGAGGTTGATGCAAAATGATTCAAAAATTTCTTACAAAATTCGTCAGATAAATATAATGAATTAAATGAAAACGATATAAATGATCATAATTCAAACTTGACCAAATTTTCGAATAAAATCTCTCCATTCTTAATGATTGTTGAAATAAGTCTACATCTATGTTGTATATATTAACCGACAGATATTCGTCAAGTTATTGTCCTAGAAGAACGAGAACAAAAAAAAACATGTGCATAAAGTCTATTTTTTCTATGCTTACTTACTAATGCCTTGTTCCATTTTCTTCAATAATCAATAGACTGTTTTTCATGCTTGTATCTATATATTTATATTATTATTCTTAATCAGAATCATCGCGGCAGGCATGTGCAGAAATACGAGAAGTGAAAAAATAAGAATAGTACTTACACAAAACATTTTATCGTTAAGATGCGTAGCTAATATTGCATGACGAATCGGAAATACGTTTATGGATTCAGTCAGTTTCAATAATAACAGAAATAGCAAAGCAAAGATTGATCTTTTGAATAGATCTATTCATATTATATTAATATAAAGTATTTATTCTATTCACAATCGAATAACTAACAGAATTCATTTTGCTATCTATGAAATCTTTATCATTCATTAAAAGTAAAGACATTCAATTACCTTGATACTATATGTTGAACTTCATAGTGTGTGCCTCAAATGAAGTTCTGGTCTAGTTGGAAAATTCGTCGTCATTTTCCATTATTATCAATAGTAGCAAAAAGAATACATTTCCATATCAACGACTAGTGCTTGAACGGAGAAATTATTTAGCTTAGCTAGATTAACTTTTTCTCAAGGATGAACACGTTTATGATCAACTAGTTAATCACTGATAGCGAATCGTTAATGAATTAGAGAAAAAAAAATGTTTCAAATCTGTAAAATTGAAAGTTAAACAGAATTTCTATACATTTTTCTAATTTTAGATGACTTTTAGTTCTGCTGTTTCATTACGATTTCTACTCCTTCGTCTGTTAATTTATTAATATACAATGTACCTACGTGGAGTTACTTCAGACGGCAACCTGATTCGAAACATCAATTTGAAAATTGGAACGTTTTTTTCTCTCTTTCTGTTTAGATTGTGTTCTCATGTAACTATGTAACATCGGATGTCACATCGTTTTTCTATTAAACGCTTTATTCATGTAGAATAATATGAGCAGTCAATTTCCGAATGAAACTATTCGCCAGCATAAATTAGTAAGATGAACGTGTTAAATTCACAGTAGAAATCGAAGTTACATAAACAAAATGACTTCTATTTTCGATTTTTGAGGACATGACTTCGTCTGTTTGTATTGATAAAATATTGAATCCTGTATCTTTATATTTGTTCTATTATTGTTGTGCTTACCTTATGAATATCCAGTATCTTTTTATTTTTTATTGTATTCTTGTTGAAAAAGCAATGAAAAGATCGTCTTTCAGACCGAAAATCGAAGGATCTTTATCCTGCTAGGATGAATTCTTAGATTTTTATGTTCTTCGTCATGAAAGTCAATGATCTATTGTATACTCTTAGATGATATTGTCACATAAATCCGTTCATGTTGATTCTAGCGACAATAAAATAGATAATATGAAATTAACATTTTAATTGCCGATCATTCAAAACAACTTTGTTACTTATCAATGTTTATGTATAATATCTAAAAAATGGATTATTAATTTTTCTTGTCTGAAGATATCATAAATAATAAATGTTTCATGAAATAAATTCATTCATTTTCCATAGTTTAATTATTGGTTGCATTCTTGATCAATTGTCGTCATTCATTTTCCTACTAGTGCAATATTATCAATGCGTACAGCTTTTATCAATGAATTTTACTAAAATACAACATTATTGAAGGAATGACAACGTCCAATAGTTCATATGATCTTATAATCATAGATTGTGGTCCAGCTGGTATAGCTGCTGCATTAGAACTTCAAAAATATCAATCTATTCCTAATTTTCTAATTGTTGAAGCTCGTAATCGTGTTGGTGGTCGAACTTATACAGATATACATACATTTGATAGTAATCAACCAGTTGACCTTGGCGCTCGTTGGATTCATCATATTCCGTCAGATAAAGATTATTTTAGTTATGATTTTATTCATCCTGAAAGAACCGCTTTTTTGACATTGATCGAACATTATTATCTAATACATCACTTAGTCAAGCAAAAAGAATCGTTGAAGAATTACGTGTAAATATTAAAGAGTATTCATCAGATAAAGTAGACACTTGTATGTTGGATGCTATTCGTGATAAATATGAAAAAATTCAAGATGAACAAATGCGTCGTCTTGTTGATATGAATCTTGCTTATATTGAACATTATGAAGCATCTAATCTTAATGAACTTTCAGCTAAATCTTATTTAAAATCAAATGGTGGTATTGAAACATGTGATCTTACTCTTTCTATTGGATTATGTTCTTTTATTGAACAAATAGTCAAACGAAATAATCTTCCTAGTCAATTAAATACTATTGTTACAAATATTGTTATAGCAATTGATAAGAATGATCCTATTCGTATAACGACACAAGATAATCGTCATTATTTGAGTAAATATGTTCTAATTACAATTCCACTTGATTGTTTAAAAGCATTTTCAATAAAGTTTATTTCAGCATTACCCGATTGGAAACAAAATGCAATCGATAAAATGGGTTTTGGATTGTTGAATAAAATTTTTATTCAGTTTCCATTTACATTTGGAATGAAAATTTGAATTTTATTTTTATTGTTTCGAATCGTTTTAGTTTTTTTCAATGTCATTCACATGATCAAGTGCTTACTTTATTTGTTGGTGGTAATTTAGCAGGTAAATTAGAACAAGAAACTGATGAAGAAATTATTGAACAAATTTTTCAATGTTTAAAACGAATTTATTCACCAATACCAAAACCAACGAAATGGTTAATAACTTGATGGGGATATGATTCATTTGCATATGAATCATATTCAAATGTTAAGATTGGTTCTACATTTGAAACTTCAAAAGAATTAGCAAGAGAACATTATGATGCTCGAATATATTGGGCAGGTGACCATGCTAATTATGGTGGAACTATTGGATGTATTGATAATGCTTTTGAAAATGGTCAGCGTGAAGCTAAGCGTATTTATGATAAATTGAATCGAGTCTCTGATTAATTATCAAATATAAACTTTTAGTTAAATTGTATTTACATATGTATAGCCTGTATGAATTTGAAATACTTTATGTGTTTTATCTCTCGTAGAAACAGGAATAGAAATATGTTTCAAAAGTAAGAAATGAATAATCAAGCTTTAAGTTTTATTGTTATTCTATTTTTATGTCTTTTTATGGATAAATGTTGAAAGAAATTGTGTTTTTATTTCTTTTTAATATTTGTTTTCGTGAATAAAAAAGCAGTAAACTCAACTATGGTCGAAAGTAAAAATGTCGAAAAAAAAAACTTTATTAAAATAATAAGTAAAATTCTGGAAGAAAGACTGTTTTGAACAATGTCGGATAAAAATATTACTATTGCACGATCAATATCCGCCTGTGAGGTATGTATGGGTACGAGTGAGTGCCTGAAAAAGAGACGCCGGGCATTTACACTTTAATTGCAGGTTGTCATAATAGAATAAATTATTCTATTTATCGAAAACACCCAACTATGTGGAATTTTATCAATCTTATGAAAACAGCAGAAAAACAACAATAAGGCGAAGTCCAATAGAGACATTGTATAATCGATATAATAATTCTTTCGGTACAGCATCTGATTTCCTCAACAGTTTGCCTTTTACTCTGAAAAAAAAAATAATTATGATTGTAAAATAAGAATATTATTAAAGGTCAATAAACTAATGTTTCAAAATATTCTTGCTTGTCTTTTATTCTTTCTTTTTCAAAAATAAGCATTTTATTCGAAACTAGCTGTACAGTTATTTAAATTTTTTGAACGAGAAAATATTCAGAGGTTTCCATATAAGTTTTCGGCCTTTTTTTGTTTCGACCAAAGTTAAGATAACCAAACAAGCTGTTAATTGGAGCAACTAAAGCATTTGAGAAATGAAATAAACTCATGTGAGTGATCAACATTGTTAATGATGAATAACAGATGAATCGTCTAGTTTAAATGAAAATGAGAAGGGGTATATACTAATTCATCTCTCAAATATAGCAGAGTTATTCTGAAATATTGCATATTAATCATTCATAAGAATTTTTCTAGGACAATTAAGCATCATTAGCATCTAATTCAATCTATAAGACGAAGAAAGACACGATAGTTATAGTACCAAAGTCTTGATAGAAAAGTTTCATTCACAAGCGTTATAACAACGTTATCTTTTCTCAAATAATTATTTTTATAAAGTTGGAAAGTAAGAAAGCATTTTTTTTTCTCTTCCTTGTTTAAAATAAAATTTACAGGTGAGAACAGCATACATAAATCAGTTAGAAGATAGATTCTAATTAAGATTGACTATTCAAATCTGATCATCTACTACTTGGATAATGTTCATGAGAAATATATGTACATTCTTTCTAAATTAAAAATACATTTTGAAGCTTGAGTGTCCTTCTCTCTTGATATATACCTTTTCAATGCTCCTAATTGGTATGTACAACGCAATTATGATTGATTGATGTGAAAAGGAGTCGCCAATATATACATTAGGAGTATTCTTGTTTCGCTGAAAAGCAACAAATGTAAATAATATACTTCAAAGCACATTAAAGTCGGTGAGGATGATTGTCGACGAAACGAGAACTAACTATACATCAATGCTACATGATTCTTACTTGGTAATGAATGTTTTGAGTTGGTAAAAGAAAACAATAAGGACTTTTTTCTTTTTCAGTTTGTTGTATAAGATTATGATGAAATAAAAATTTATTATAATTCGATTGAACGTTGTGACCACCAATTTATTAAATGAAAGACAACAAACACAAGGTAATTTTAATGACAAGTAAAATAGAAAGAACTCAGCAGAAAACAAATATAGATTAAAACAGATATATATGTTGAGAGTAAAATTAGAATTTGGTTCAATGTCGATTTTGTCTCGGGCAAAACTAGCATTTCAAATCTGCCCGAACAAAATCACGATTCGACGAGAGATAAATTTATATAATCAAAGTAAAAAAATTCTAAATAGAATAACTATTTTAATTTCTCACAATCATCATCCTTTCAGTTAACACTTTTTAAGTTAATGTACTTCAGTTTATTCATTCATATTTGTACAAGCATCTTGCTTGGAATGACTTTTTGTTGAATAAGACACTCCTAATTTTTAATATGAATCTTGTTTTCTAACTCATTTGTTTTTACAATAGCATGTTCGATCGATTGTTAGATCTGATTCAGACATCTTTTTCTTATTAGATTGTAACATGTACACCTATATTTATACTGCTTATCAATTCGACCACAATGACTAGAATTTTCTGTTTTTTTCATTTCACTCTTTATATATTAAAATATGTGATATTATGAATTTATTTCTATTCGAATTCGATTTTGTTTATCCAAAACTAGAATTTCAATTTTGCACCCAACATATATATAAATATGACGAGAATAAAACTACACGTAACAAGAAAAGAAAAACACATCGCAGAATCCATCCTAACAGAAAAATTAAGTACGCCGACGATCATTTACTTGTCAGTGAGGTTCAACAGATGTACTAAATATCACATTAGCTAAAAAATAAATAAAAAATTTGAATAAAAAAAAAATGTCATGTATGATATATATTACTGAAGTTAGTATAAAATACTAAACATATATAATTCTAAACAAGTCGGTAATCAATAGTTTTATTTTCTAGTAACAGAATATACTGATCAGAGACAGGATCAGTTCGTTTTTTTTGGAACTGAACCGATTCCATCTCCACTAATTACACCTTCAGATATAAACGTATTTAAAACTTGAACAAATTTTAGAAGATACAAATTGAATTATTTTTCTTTCTGCTCCGAAGTCACACTGACGATGCATATCGTTATTTTACTCATGTGATAAAAAATACTCATTAAAAAACCAGACAGACAAATTTTTTTCTCATATAGTCATTAACTTTGTTGATAACCAAATATAGAAACGTAAAAAGACACGCAAATTATTATCATATCTCAGATGAAAAAAAAATTATTTGTCGAAATTCTTTCTTAGGAGGATTCTAATATTTGAAGATGATATAAAACAATTAATGTTTCACAACAACTTTTGAAGTTACAACTAGTGAAGCTTCAAAGAAGTCCTAAATCTGGATGAATCATTTCTTCACATTGAATTTAATCTCGAGTGACTAATAAATCAAAACTAATCGTAGTGAACCTTTTTTTTTTGAAAGAAAAAACAAAAGATAGGAAATAGAAAAAGGTCCAGTGAGTATTTTTTACACTTTTCTGCTAAGATAAGGCACGTATAACATATTTATGATAAAAGATTGAAATAAAGAAATAATATAGATAGATTGTATGTCAATTTCCATTAGAAAATACTAAACTACTCAGTACTCATAATGATAACTATGAAAGTTGCAATTGATATCCTTAATGAATTTTTCGTTTTTAGACATTCTGTATTTGTGTTTTCATTTTTCTATTTTTCAATATCTGTTGCTGTGTTTTTACCAATTAGGTAGCAAAAAACAGAAAGTCTAAGTCTCGAAATATTTTTAATATGTGCTGAACAAAAAATATGACTCATACATAGCTTATTCGTTCTCGTAAGGAAGTATATGAGGATGTGGACTTTCCTTTCGGTCACATATTTATGCCCACAGCTAATTTCCACTCGGATCTATACTTAAAAGTAATTCAAAATCGAAAAAGTACATCACATACACATCGATGTGAAGCTAGCACGACGACCAATCAAAATCAATGTAACAACCGACCAATCAAAATCGGTCCATGTTTTACCGCTGACAATCCATATACGACTCTCAGAACTTTGGTCGAAAGTAAAAATGTCGAAAAATAAAAATGTCGAAAGTGAAAATAACACAAACATCGAAAGTTAGAAACGTCGGAAATGATAGATTATGAAAGTAGGAATCTCCATCAACCTCACCCTCACTCTTACATCTTCGCCTTCACTCTCATTTTGTTTTCGACATTTTTACTTTCGACCAAAGTTGAGATTACCCCATATACTACCCGCACTACTTTCCTTAGCAACAAAATACAAAAAAACGATAAAACCGACAAAACTCATATTTCCGTGCGAAATATTCATCAACACTCCAAAGAAAACCTGAGCTACATGAATCACGTCGGCTTCTCAAAATAAATCAAACTTTGTGAATCCTTCCTCATTTGCAACCAAACAATGAAAAACCCATTCGATACAGAATTGAATTCTCTATCAGATGGTATATTCATGACAAAGAGAATCGATTTCGGGAGAGGGCTTCCGAAGGCAAAAAGACCTGCCTCACATTTTTTCGTGATGGTTCCAAGTAACTTCATGGGCTCCTGTGCATACTGTTTCCATTGCAACGGAAGAGTTGACATACCATGAGATAGAGAATTGAATTCTCTATCAGATGGCATATTCATGATAAAGAGAATCGATTTCGGGAGAGGGCTTCCGAAGGAAAAAAACCTGCCTCACCTTTTTTCGTGATGGTTTCGGGAAACTTCATGGGCTCCCGTGTATACGGTTTCCATTGCGACAGAAGAGTTCACATACCATGAGATAGAGAATTGAATTCTCTATGAGATGGTATATTCATCATAAAGGGAATCGATTTCGGGAGAGGGCATCCGAAGGAAAAAACACCTGCCTCACATTTTTTCGTGATGGTTCCAAGTAACTTCATGGGCTCCTGTGTATACGGTTTCCATTGCGACAGAAGAGTTCACATACCATGAGATAGAGAATTGAATTCTCTATCAGATGGTATATTCATCACAAAGAGGATCGATTTCGGGAGAGGGCTTCCGAAGGAAAAGACCTGCCTCACATGTTTTCGTGATGGTTTCGGGAAACTTCATTGGCTCCTGTGCATACCGTTTCCATTGCAACGGAAGAGTTGACATACCATGAGATAGAGAATTGAATTCTCTATCAGATGGTATATTCATCATAAAGAGGATCGATTTCGGGAGAGGGCTTCCGAAGGAAAAAAGACCTGCCTCACATTTTTTCGTGATGGTTTCAAGAAACTTCATGGGCTCCTGTGCATACCGTTTCCATTGCAATGGAGGAGTTGACATACCATCAGATAGAGAATTGAATTCTCTGTGAGATGGTATATCCATCATAGAGAGAATCGGTTTCGGGAGGGAGCTTCGGATGGAAAAAAAGTTCTCTGTCAGGTTCTTTCCTGGGCGGGTTGGGAAATCTCATGGGCTTCTCTGCATACAGTTTCTATTGCAACGGGAGAGTTGACATACTATCTAATAGAGAATTGAATTCTATACAAGATGAAATATTCAGAATACAGAGACTCGATTTCTGAATGGAGCTTCGAATTCAAAATAAGTCATACTCGCACATCTGAGCGAGTGGTGTTCGCATGTCTGGTCGGGCACTGTGGATAGAGTTTCCATTGCAACAACAGACTTGATATACCGTCCAATAGAGAATGGAATTGTCTAGAAGATGGAATATTTATCATAGAGAGAATCAATTTCTGGAATGGGCTTTCGAAATAAAAATAGTCCACACTCGTACATCTCAGCTAGGGTTTTCGCAAGTTTCGTCGGCTACTGTGGCCAGAGTTTCTATTGCAACGGAGGGCTTGAGGTACCATCCGATTGAGAATTCAATTCGCTACAATATAGAATATTCATGATAGAGAGAATTGATTTCTGGATGCGGGTTTCCGAATTAAAAATAGGTCACTCTCGCACTTTTTAGCGAGCGTGTTTGGATGTCTCGTCAGCTGCTGTGGCTAGACCTTCTATAGGAACGGTAGACACGATATACCATCCAATAGAGATTTGAAGTCTCTATCGAAAAATATTTTCATTGTCTTGTTGCAAGGGATTTTAGCTCGAGAAGATTCGATCTCCATATCGGAAAATATTGCATGAGAGTGGGTGTCGGGTCTTTTTTTTCGTTTCTACCCTTCGGCTGGAAATCGATTCTCTCTATGACGAATATACCATGTTGTAGCAAATTAAATTCACTATCGAATGGTATATTCAGTCTCCCGTTGCAATGGAAACTCTATCCACTGGAGCGGATGCCAGTATGGAAAACCCTTCGTAAAAAGTGTGAGGGAGATCGTTTGTTTCCTTCTTAACCCCCGTTCCAAAATCGATTCTCGGTATGATGAATATATCATCTGGTAGAGAATTAAATTCAGTATCGAATGGTATATTCAGTGTCCCGTTGCAATGGGAACTCTATCCACTGGAGCGGATACCAGTACGGAAAACCCTTCGTAAAAAGTGTGAGGGAGATCTTTTGTTTCCTTCGTAATCCACCTTCCAACATCGATTCTCGGTATGATGAATATACCATCTGGTAGAGAATTAAATTCCCTATGGAATGGTATATTCAGTCTCCCGTTGCAATGGGAACTCTATCGACTGGAGGGGATTCGACTATGGAAAAACTTTCGTGAAAAGTGTTAGGGAGATCTGTTTTTGCTCCTTAACTCCCCTCTGAAAATACATTCTCGCTATGATGAATATACCATGTTGTAGCGAATTTAATTCTCTATCGAATGGTGTATTCGTTCTCTCGGCAATGGAAATTGTGTCGGGCAGCGTTGGTCGTAATACTTGAATCGACCGTATGAGTCGTATGAGTGGGTTCTTTTTTTCGGACTCAACGGTCTGTTCAGAATCGTATCTGTCTATGGTGAAGACATCATCTTGTGGAGAATCGAATTCTCTATCGAATGGTTTATTCATCGTCTTTTTTGCAATGGGTATTAACTCGACTGGAGCCCATCTTATTATTGCAAATGATTGCATGAGAGTGGGGGTCGTGTCCTTTTTTCTTTACTAACGCACGTTGAGAATTGGATTCTCTCTATGATGATTAGGCGGTCTTGTAGAGTATTAAATTGTCTACAAGATGATATGTAGCATTTGTCCGGGCAATGGTCCTTCTGGTGCACAGATCGTTTTTTTTTCAAAATCGTGTGCTTTTTTTATCGTCGTGCTAGCTTCACACTTATTTCTGTTGCTAAGGCCGACATGGCCGAATCGTTGACCTCCACATTGATGGTTTTTGTTTTTTGATTTTCTGATTGGTTATTCAAACGACCTATATACTTTCGTATCTCGTCGTGGTAATTCGTCATCGTGCTAGCTTCACATCGATTATTGCACTCAAGAACAATACAAAAATCTAAATTTTGCTTCGTTTGACGGACGAAATAGATGAAAAATCCAATATTGAATAATTTCGAAATGTCATTCTGTCTACAATATCTTCGATATTTTACTTTTTTGGCATTTTCTTCTCCACATTTTTCCTTTCATAATTTGCCATTTGACATCTTAATTTTTTCAATATTTTAAAAGGTTGCCCTTTTTCGTGTATTATACTATTACAGTTCGTCTTAATCGTATAAAAGAAAATATTACAAATGGCATTTCAGTAGATAAGACTGTAGTTGCATGTCATGACGCATAGATTTTTCTTTCGAAACATATGATGGCTGATAGACCTGAGACAGTTTTCAATCAAAGAACCAGAACGGTATCAGGCATCCAGTTTTTTCTAAAAGAACGGGAACTGATAACCAGTTCTTTTTTTGATAACTGAAACAAGTATTGAATAGATTATCTAGATCACTATTATCGATAGAGTAAGTCCATTTGAAAAGAGTGATCAGTGAATTCAGGCCCTAAAAAGGGTCTGTTCATTAGTCCCAGTTCCCTAAAAAGGAACTGGCTCATAGAACTGTCAGGTGTCACAGGCTTACGAGGGAACATTCCCAACTGTCAAATAGCCTTTCGCTTGGTTCTATTGCCATTCGGTCGCTCTTGGTGAGTAGTGAAAAAGTCTATTTTGGTTTGGTTTTTTGGTCTTCTATTAAAGACTTATGGGCGTTTTACTGGATTTTCGGCCTATGGGCCTGAGATTCCATGAGAACCTGAATAATCGAATTTCGAGCTGAAATTTTATCAATAGACAGCTCTTACCGTTATTAGAAAATCCCCAAAGTTTGAGTCAGAACGAATCTATCGCTATCGAAATATTCACATTTTAAAAAACCTCTCTCTTGTGCTGTATTTCCAAATAGGGATATTTTCAATACAAGCTAATATCTCGACAAGGGAATGTTTGTTCTGGCTCCAACTTTGGAAATTTTCTAATGACTATGAGAGCTGTCTATGGACAAAATTTCAGTCCGAAATTCAATCATTCAGGTTCTCATGGAATCTCATGCCCATAGGCCTAAATCCAGTAAGACGCCCACAAGTCGATAATAGAAGACCGGAAAACCAAACTAAAATAGTCTTTTTCACTATTCACCAAGACTGATCGAATGGCAATAGAACCAAGCGAAAGGCTATTTGACAGTTGGGAATGTTCCCTCGTAAGCCTGTGACACCTGACAGTTCTATGAGCCAGTTCCTTTTTAGGGAACTGGGACTAATGAACAGACCCTTTTTAGGGCCTGAATTCACTGATCACTCTTTTCAAATGGACTTACTCTATCGATAATAGTGATCTAGATAATCNTGGGTGTGGTGTGGGTGTGGGTGTGGGTGTGGGTGTGGGTGTGGGTGTGAGTGTGGGTGTGGGTGTGGGTGTGGGTGTGGGTGTGGGTGTGGGTGGGTGCGGGTGTATCTCTCTTCGACTGACACCCACACTTACACCCACACCCTAAATTAATAGAAAATATTCAAAATGAAAAGTAATAAGAATAGAGATGGCTGATAGTTGCCTTTTATGCGATCTAGATTTGACAATATTGATCAGGAAATCATCTAACTTGGGAACAACCTTGTTTATTGACACTATAAGATAATTGAAAATGCAGAATAATAAAATAATGAAGAGTACAATAATCACGAATCATTAAAACACAAAAGACAACGCAAAAAGCCAAAAAACAAGAAAAAATTCCATTAACAAAAGGCAGTATCCGGTGACATCCACTATTCATTTTTCCTGGTTATATGCTAACAGTAAATAAACACATGACAATAGTTAACATCCATTTTGAGGAAAATATAAATGAAAACGAAACATGAATACTTTAGTAACATGTTTAGGGTTACAATGCCTACGTACGAAAATTATATAAGAAATTTCTACGGGATTAAATAAAAACAAAGTAGATTCATCTGGGTACAAAGAGTGTTCAATCTTCTCATACTATATTTATGATTATTTTTATACTAAAGAAATGAAGAATGTCAGTGAACATCACTGCTGATGTCATCACTCGTCGTTTTATGTTGGACACTTTTCATTTTGTCGAGAATTTTGCCCAGGTACTCCTGTGCATCACGTTTCTTTATAACCGCTTGTTGCCATCTATTTCCGACTTTATGGCATTTTTGGTCATTTAATAAATTTTTAATGTCATCTGCTTTACCCTGGTGCGTCAGGTACTCCGCGAAGGATTTTAAATCAACTTCACTTGCTCCATTAAATGCATTTTCGATCATATCACACCAGCGGTCCACAGTACAGTCGTACCACACTCTTTCCTTTGCATCAAGTAGAACATCCACTAAGAACTGTTCCCACGTATTTTTATCTGTTGGAAATTTTTCATTTAGACCATCTCTACCAATCTTAAGTATTTCTTTAACCCATTCACTGTAAGGATACTCAGATGGATCATTGGCAGTGCTTAGTGACGGATTCCAGCCTACTGCTAAAGACCGCAGAAGTTGTGCTGAGTTTGCAGACTTTTCTTCGAAAATCTTTATACTACTGCAGATGAGAAACTTCCTGTTGAATTCAATAATAGGAAAGGCAATATTATTGTAATTCGATTTTAATGTATTATAGGAGTCAAGTCCGTTCACACTGTCTAGTATTACAAAGCATCTAGGCTGTAGGCTGAATTTTTTCATTGATTCACACAAGTCTTTTATGATGTCTAGAAACGTGCCTTCGGTTTTCAAAATTTCCATTATTAAATCTTTTGTCTCTATCTGTTTGGCGTATCTAATTTCGGCACAAAGTAAACTATATTTTGGCTTGAATAAATTTTTGCATGTATGATATTTTTTATCTTCAATATATTGGGGTAGGTTCGTGTTCTCTATAGCATAGTAGTTGGAGAAACTTTCTGCTGGATTGTTTGAGTCGGCTGACCATCCAAAACTGAGTGGTAAAAAAGGAATAACAAGTGAACGAATATTTACATATTGTGGTTCGATAAGAAGAGAACTATTACGGATGTGCTTTGCAATAAAATTTAAGGCAGAACTTGCTACGCTAGCGTGTGGACAAGCAGCATAGAGTAATACACATTCAATTTCTTCCTCGTCTGGACCTGTGCGTCGGTGAGGTGCAGGGTTAATCAATATTTTCCCACTTGTCATGTTCCGAAAAACTATATACTTCTTTGTGTTTGTATGTATAACAATTTTAGTTTCCTTGTCTTGGATTCTTTTATCAATATTGCAGAGACGCGCCGCTATTTCTTTATTTTCTTCATCAATATTTGAAAGAAAACCTAATATTATGGCCGGATTATTGTTTGCTGTGATGAAGCTCTCTATGATGTTCAATAAATAAGACGTACCCTTAGGCGCATCTGGTATTTCAGAACAAAATAAATAACGTTTGTCATCAACTTTTACCTTCAAGCTTGCACCTTCACCAGGGATATCACTCATTAGGTGCAAATAGACTTTTTCACATATGTTAAAAATTCTTTCAGGTTCCGTTTCATCATCAGAATGCTGGAATACATTGCTATATTCGGCCTTAAATTCATCATAAGAAAGTGAGCGGGTTAAATAGAAACATGCCATTAAAATGCGCATCGTAGCTTTATAGTACTCGCTTCTATCATTGATACTCTTGTCTATTGTAGGAAAACCTTGTGGTTCATATATATTTTTATAATATTCTAAGCAAGGATGTGGCTCTTCAGGGCGAGATAACTTCATTGTCAAAAGCATGTCTAACACATTTGGATGCGCGATGACATCAGTAGGAGCATAAAGCAGTTCCCCATCCCTTTTTTCTTCTGTCTGATTGGTTTCACTGTTGCTCTCTGACTCTGGGTTTTGACAAAAGCGATATTTTTTCGAATCGTCAATCATGGCATCTAAGTGTATGGTTGTCGAGATAACATGACTGTTAATTCCATTGCAATATTCTGCCGCTACAGAACGATGCGTAGAATGATTCGGCTTGCCTGATAATGTGCACTTATCAATAGGCCATATTCCGTCGTTATCGGTAGACAGAAGGAGTGGAACATTAATAGTGCGCAAGTTAGATAAAGGAGCTTCCTGTACTGCATTTCTAACAGCATCACCGAGAAGATACAAATTACTAGTTATATTTACCTCGAAAGGAATGCTTGAAAATACTGACTTAGCATATCTTTTCATTTCCGCCACAAGTATGCTAGATTTTCGGTATTTATAATTTTCGATAGATAGCAGTTTATCAAAAGCAATACCATGGCCGACACGAATGTGTCTCCCTAACTTCATTTTGCGAAAGTGAATGCAACGGAAAAGAATATACATATGCGCAACAAATAGACGATAACCAGGCAATTCTGGACGAACGAAAGGTACATTTTCTCCGGCATGAATACGTAAACCGAAATTCGGATTTTTTTCCCGAGACTCTTGAACAAATCCGATGAACTCATGAGCTAAAAAGGCGCAATAAGGATGCCCTAATTCATCGCCACATAAATCTAGGCCGACAACCCAATCGTAGAAATGAGGAATTTTGTCGATAGCCACCTTCATGTCCTGAAGTTTTTGTACTTGTTCCTTAAATATAATAGTTGGTCTTTTATTGTTGCTTAAATAAAGTTCTCTCAACATAACATGAATCGCATAATGCGGCAATTCAGATAAGAAAGCAACGGCTTCATCAGCTGAATAAGCATCGATGATTGGTGGTATACTACGTCTGAATCCCGCCAAAAATCGATATATAACACGTTGTTCGAACTGACGTGTTGGGAGCCATGGGAAATTATTAAATAAATCTTCGAATGATCCACGGTATTTTGGTTCGTGCGAAAATGTAGTTAAAACATCAAATACCCAAGCACGTCTTAAATCATCACAACCAACTGAAATTTCGCAATATTTTATGGCTGGCGAACATTTTGAATATCGATCAAGAACATGAAACAAGAGATATGCTAACAAGTCGAGTCGTTGCTCGTATAGTGAGTCTTTTAAAGCAAATCGTCTAGGATAGAATTCCGGTGTAAATGCACCACGAAACGAATGAAAGTCGACTGAACGTGGCTCGGTACCATCTGCATTCATCATTGAAAATGCGTTAATGATATGTGCTCGTGTATTCCGTTGCACTGGATCAGTTAGTTCTTCAATCTTTTTTTCCACACCAATAAGTGTACGCAGGTCTTCAGCTTTTATACCATATACTACTTGTAATTCTTGATATCGCGCATTAAATATGATCCAGTGCTTGAAAAAAACACGCTTTGTCCAATCACTTCTTGTATGGATGCCTAATTTTTCTTCCACTTTACCTTGATTTATTTCTCCTGAGTCATCTTTTTTTAATCCAAGCCCTTTAACCAGATTATCCAATGAGAAAATAACATCATATGAAAAGTTTTCCTGGAAAAGTAAGCCATGATGTTTCTTCTTTTTCTTGAAGTCTTCTTTTGCCAACTCCTCATAAAGCTTTTCTTCCGTAGTACCTGATGAACGTAGATCATCAAAGAGCTTCCTTGCTCGTTCTGGAACAATGAATTTCGATTCGCCTGAATCCCAAACTAATGGTCCTAATTGACATCTTAAAAGTTCGCTGCTGATAAAGTCATTTTGAGTAGGCAATTTTCTTCGATCAATTAGAATATTCTCGACCCAGAACTCAGCATTACCCATACCCAAAAGATGTGTATGTAAATCATCCAAGCTTTCTTTTGTGCTGAAATACTTTAGTAAATTATCGGTGCTCCATTCATTTTCTGTGTACTCTAGAACATAAAGCAATTCCATCTACTTATTTCAAAAAAGTTTCACTTGGCTTACTTGCACGCTTTCGCGTCTGTATTGGTGTTTCAGTCATGACTTTTAAGTTTCGTTTAGCAAAACTAAAGCAAGAAATTATAGTATTAGTCATTATACTTTAGAATGTCGTGCTTTTTAATCATTTTAAGTGTAGTATTTTATCTAGAAATTAACTATAGTTTGAGAAACTTCAGCTAGTTTAAGTGTAAAAGTCACCAAATGATGGTGTCCAAAAGGATTTATCAAACCATGCCGTACAAAGAATTCCTTTTGCAATTAAAGAAGGCCTATTCCATGGAGTTTCTCCCATAAAAAACACAAGTGTCTTAGAATCGATCGAAACTTACTTTATTTTGTAGAGCTCAATGAGTTGTATTTACAGTAAAAATATTAGCTCATAATATTGTTCCTTGGAAGAGATAGAGGCTCTACATTTTTAGGTGGGAATCCGATATTTAATAAAATATTAAAAAAATCCATAATTCTGTGATCCTCA